CAACCATTTTTGTTTTGGAAGAAATTGTGTGAATACCTGTACACTTGTTGTTTCTACTGGGAAACTGTGATTTTGCTGGTAGAAGCATAACACCTGTGCATAGCCTAAGTATGCCTAGAACTTAATAAAACAGACACTTAGAGAAACATTATGAGAAAACTAAAAATGTGTACCTACGAGTAATTCAATGCGTAAAAAAACCAAACACCATGAATGGTATAGATGGCTTTCTGAGGAGGAAAAAAACAACAGTGAAGGTTGTTTATGGCAATCAACTGCTTAACTTACTGGGTATAGAAAGTCAAATCCTAACCAACATTTGTTGACTGACTCCACAATTCCCTACAGCTCGCACTCATTACTTTCATCTCCTTTGTCACTTATATTTCCACAGTATAAATACACTCATCCCTTAATTTTCAGAAGCCCCAATACCTTCAGCTCCAATTAACATATTGGAACGGTTGATATTCAGTGCCTCTGAAGCTCATGATATAAGCCTCTAGAGATGGGTATGTGGAGAAAAACAGTACATAATCTCATCACCACCCTTTGTAATTTACAGAAGGTATAAACTGACACTGAGAACTACTTAAGTTATACTTTCTTTGCAGTCTAGTGTCAGCACAGTGACCTACTTAATTCTTGCAGTTTAGATGCTGTGTACTAAATAGGGTGTACTGATCTGTATGGGTGATGCTGTGCAGTACAGTGTTGCCACAGAAAATTACCTTCAGTGTACACTTAGCATTTCCCTGTTATCAAGATGGACTGCAGTGACTGTTGTTTTCTGGGGATTTGGCTTGAGTCTTAATTTCAAAAAATATTCCTCCATGGTATTCAAGTCCTCATTTAAAATTGACCTGATGTCATTGAAAATGGCTGCTTGCATTGCCAAACCAAGGTCATCTGCATATACAAGTCTGCACGACTGTTGGCAGCATATTGCTTGTGTATATATTAAAGAACATTGGTGAGAGTACTGAACATTGTGGCAGCCCACTGCTGAGGAACCAGCGCAAGCTGACTCTGTTACCCAGGTGGACATGGAGCTGCCTATTACTCAGCATTGTCTATATCAGGTGTAGTGTTTGGTGGCACAGTATAATCTTTGTGAGCTTCATCATCAGATTTTTAATTCAGACCATGTTGTAAGCTGATAACAGGTCTACAAAGTCTGCACCAGTCTTGGATTTTTTCCGAAAAGCCAGCCTTGATGTACAATGCAAGGGCCAAAACTTGGTGTCAACAACTTTGCTTAGGCCGGAATCTCACTTGTTCATTGGGGATCACTGGCTTGATAAAAGGGCTGATTCTCCTGAGTTCCAAGAGTGACCCCTGAGGAACTCTATCAATAGTTTTCCATTAGCTTGATCCTTCCACTTTCAACACAGTCTACTACTGTCTGCTCTTAAGCTGGTTCATTTTCTATCATTAATTCTTCCAGTAGTCCCCATGTCCCCCTTTTCCAGGCTGGGTAATAATTTTGCATGTGGTACTGTATCAGATATATTATTGAAGTCCAGACAGATTAGATCTACTGCATTTTCCTTATGTAGAAAACATTTTTTTTTATTGAGAAATGGTATCAGTGTAGTTTGACATGTTCTTTGGTAAACACATGCTGCATTTTAACTCGTTTTCTAATTATTGTAGACACTTTATAAAATGCATCTTGCTTTGCTGTGGAGCTGCTGCTTCTGCATACTGTCCACAGACTCCAACTGGAAAAGCTCTTGCCACTGCAAAGCCCATTTAGGCTGCCTTGGTACATGCAGATGTTCACCACACTCAATGTACAATCACGTGATTCACTTTAAGCTGTGTGATTGTAAATCAGGAGTGGAATGTGCACACATTCACCAGTACCAGGAGCTGTACCAGAAACCCAGTCTAAGTAACTTGGGGTGGGGATAAAGATAGCACCCATAAAAATCCTTGCTTCTTATGTTTTTCCTGGACCATTATGGTTATAATGTCACTCCAACACTACCAGAATGATTTTAAAGATTTTTTCCTTTAATATTCTCACGCTCTCCAAAAGATGCAGAGAAAGGGAGAGAATAAGCAGCAAAGATAGAATAACGCTAACATAAGTCTTCTGAAGCTCCTAGCACAGATGCAAATAAAAGTATATCAAGGAAGGTATTTCATCATCCAGGAAGATATTTTAAACTAGTTCTGTCTCACTGTGAGAAAGTCTCAAAAAAATCATTTTCTTTTTTCTAAGCAACATTTCAAGTTGAAGTCACTAGAAGAAAAAGGGAAGAGCAAACTCAGTTATCACCAGTAACTTTCATAGATTTCATAGACATTAGGGCTGGAAGGGACCTCAGAAGATCATTGAGTCCAGTCCCATGCCCAAAGGGCAGGAAGTCAGCTGGGGTCATTGGATCCCAGCAAGATAAGCATCCAATTTGCTCTTGAAGGTGTTCAATGTAGGTGCTTGAACCACCTCCGATGGCAGGCTGTTCCAGACCTTGGGGGCTCGGACAGTAAAGAAATTCTTCCTTATGTCCAGCCTGATACGGTCTACCAGTAGTTTATGACCGTTTTACCTCGTCAGCCCTTGGGGCGCTCTGGTGAACAAATGTTCCCCCAGATACTGGTGGTCACCCCTGATAAACTTCTAGGTGGCCATCAGATCACCCCTGAGCCTGCGCTTTTCCAGGCTAAAGAGCCCCATGGCTCTCAGCCTGTCATCGTAAGGTCTGTTTTCCTGACCTCTGATCATGTGCGTGGCTCTTCTCTGGACTCTCTCAAGCTTTTCCATCTACTTTTTGAATTGTGGAGCCCAAAACTGGATGCAGTACTCCAGCTGCGGCCTCACCAAGGCTGAGTACAAGGGGAGAATGACGTCCCGGGATT